TTCATCTTCCTATCTCTCATCCCTTCCATGACCTCTTTCCTTCCCCACCCTCTCTTAAATACTCATTCTTCTTACTAATTAGAACAAAACTGTCTCTTAATCTGCAGCTAGAAAACGTGTGTAGGGGAGGTGGGTAGTTTTTTTTTATTTTCCTGCGCTGTTAACACTTTACTTGGCGCTGATGAGGGACTTCTGGTGATTATGAGTGTGTAGTGTACTACTGGGAGGAACCGTCCGTCACATGACGGGTTAAGTAGCAGGACAGCCTTGTTCACGGCGAAATATCTGATATATATATATATATATATATATATATATATATAATATATATATATATATTATATATATATAATATATATATATATTATGTATATATATATATATATATATATATATATATATATATATATATATATATATATATATATATATATATATATATATATATATATATATATATATACATAAAAATGCACATATCACTATCCATACAAAAAGGTAACTGCTTCTCAGAAATGAACACTTTTCTGTATACAAACATATATATGCTTTTCGGTGTAAACACATAGAGATACACACCTTCTGTGCATATACACAGACAAACATATCGCTATGTATGTTCACTCTTGCAGTTCTCTCACCTGTTCAAAATCCTCGTCCAGATGGATATATAGCGCAGCTTGAGGGATAATCGCGAAGCAATAAGTTCGTATGGGTCACTCCGCACGAGGAGTGTTAGAGGTTCGACCCTCCGTCTACAAATCTCAAGACACATGCTACCTAGCTGCATGAAGTGAGTGCTCGCCCGGGAGGTTTAGCAAATGACGTATTGTTTACGAATAGTTTAGTGTATTTTTTTTGTCAAGTTTCTCCAGTGCTCATATTTATTCCTGTGTTTGTTCTCATTTTTATTTTTCTTGTGCGCCCACATCCCCCAGACAATATTTTTATGTAGTGGACGGTGAGGGGAGGGGAGAATGTAGTGGAGATCGTCGTGTTGGCGTAATTTATATATAAAATATAAATATATATATATATATATATATATATATATAATATAATATATATATAATATATATGTCGTGCCGAATAGGGAGAACTTGCGATCTTGGCTTAAATAGCAACCTCAATTGCCATATAGGACAAGTGAAAATTTTTGTATGCAATAATTTCGCCAAAATCATTCGAACCTAACGAAAAAAATAAAATTTATTGTGTTTTTTTTAAGTACTAAATTCTTGAAAACATTTTAAAATATATTTAGTTGGGTTAGGCTAAAAAAAATTGCTATTGTTTATAATAAGGTTAGGTAAGTTTTCTAAGATTCTTTTGGTGCAAAATTAAAAATTTTTACATTAACATTGATGAAAAAAATATGTCTTTAAACGTATAAGAGAAAATTTCAGAAAGGACTTAATTTTAAATGAGTTCTTGCTAATTGACCAGTTTTACATATTCGTCACGACATATAATATATATATATATATATATATATATATATATATATATATATATATATATATATATATATATATATATATAATATATATATATATATATAAGTCTTCTAAGTGGTGTGAGTTGTAACGTAAATTCATAAATTAGACACATGTACAACTCTTGGGTATCTTTATTGAGGAAACGTTTTCGCCACACAGTGGCTTCATCAGTCCATACAAAGGAGAATCTTGAAGACCAGGAGGAGAATGAGGTAATCAGTCCCTCAACCTTGAGTCGATGATGGTCAGTCCATCAATCTTGAATAGAGATTGATGGACTGACCACATCGACTCAAGGTTGAGGGACTGATTACCTCATTCTCCTCCTGTTCTTCAAGATTCTCCTTTGTATGGACTGATGAAGCCACTGTGTGGCGAAACGTTTCCTCAATAAAGATACCCAAGAGTTGTACATGTGTCTAATTTATCAACATTTCGGTTCTCTGAACCATTCATCTACAAACGTAAATTCAGTCTCGCTTTAATGTAGGAATCTGACGTGTTTTCATTAGTAGGAAAGAGAGCAAGAGTGAACAAGCGATTCAGGAAAATCAGCCCCGCGATCCAGGACAATTAGGTATTTGACTCAGAGCAACAGAAGTGGTCAACAAACAGAACAACAAAAGTTGTCAACAAACAGGACAACATGCCTGTTGGGCATACAAGGAGTGTTGTTATATTTAGCTTGGCATTTCCTGCTCATCTTCCCCACTCCTTCCTTCTCCTTCCATGCTTCCCTCTTTCCTTTCTTCCCTTCCTTATCTTCCTTTCCCGCTCCTCCCCTATTCCTTCCCCCACACTTCCTCTTTTCCTCCTCCTCTTTATCCTACTAAAGTCTCCCAGCTCAAACTAACAAATTTCAACGCCTTGTGTAAATTCTATCCTTCGTGACAGAATATGACAAGGAAACAACTAGCTTTTGTTCCCTCTTTGTAACTGTCATGTAGAATATAGAACAGAGGGTGTCAGCACACTGCTGATGCATCCATTTTCGTTTATTTCCTCTCCTGCTTTCATCCTTCTCTCGCTTTTCTCTTCTCCTTCCATGCCTCTTTCATTTTCGTCACTCCTTGTCCAGTGAAGGTGTAAACGCAAAGGCAATTCTTCGTTTAAGAGCTTGTTAGACAAGCACTTTACAAGTATTACGTTCAATTAGATGCAGTATGGATGGTTGCCGTGGTCATTGGAACCCTGATGTTAGTTCACAACCCACCAGGACCACAAGCTGGTCATGGACCACACATGACCACCAGTTGATCACGGACCACACAGAACATGAGAGAAAGTTAGGTTTAATCCGAGGAAGGAGAGCTCATTATCCTCCGAATCAAGAGTCCTTCGCCAGCACCTAGGCTCTTCTTCCTTCAAGAGCGAGACTGTAGTTACTCCCTCCTAGCACACAGCCTCACCAAAGATCATAATAGTCTTCTGCTATCAGCCTCTACACCATGTACTCTTTTCTCCTCTACCTCCCTGCGTCTCTCTCTCTCTCTCTCTCTCTGTCTCTGTCTCCCTCTCTCTGCCTTACTCCCTCCCTCTTTCCTCTTACTGTGCCACAGCTGTTCCCCACCCACTTGTCTGCTACATTACTTAATCACAAGGTCCCGAGTTTGATTTCCTGGCACGGAGAAGCACCGAAAGAAGTTTTCTAACACCCACTCTTGTCTCTACTCACTTTAGCAGTAAAAGTGGGTACCTGAGTGTTAGCCGACTTTTGTGGGTCGCATCCAGGGGGTAAAAAAGTTTTTTACAAAGCTCCAATCTTTCTGAATTGTCATATCCTGTGTGAGAAAACACTCGTGACCTGTGTGCAAGAAACTCCAGCGCTTGCTGGAAACATTGCAGCGTTGAGTAATAGGTATCTACGTTTATAATGACGGTAATAATAATTAATGTGCGTTGCTTTACTCATATGATCTTTTAGTTCAAGGACGGATCTGGTATCTCTAATTTAATGTCAACAATTTGAAGTGAAATGATCCGTGCTTAGAGCGGAATGCTATGATGACTATAGAGAGACTACAGCCTAGTGACTACAGAGAGACTACAGCCTAGTGACTACAGAGAGACTACAGCCTAGTGACTACATAGAAACTACAACCTAGTGACCACAGAAAGACTACAGCCTAGTGACTACAGAAAGGCTACAGCCTAGTGACTACAGAGAGACTACAGCCTAGTGACTAGAGACTACAGCCTAGTGACTACAGAAACTACAGTCTAGTGACTACAGAGAGACTACAGCCTAGTGACTACAGAGAAACTACAGCCTAGTGACCACAGAGAAACTACAGCCTAGTGAATACAAAGACTACAGCCTAGTGACTACATAAACTACAGTCTAGTGACTATAAAAAGACTACAGCCTAGTGACTACAGAAACTATAGCCTAGTGACTACAGAGAGACTACAGCTTAGTGGCTACAGAGACTACAGCCTAGTGACTACAGAAACTACAGTCTAGTGAATACAGAGAGACTACAGCCTAGTGACTAGAGAGAGAGAGAGAGTCGTTATTTAAGGCAGTCAGGTACCTGTTCATTACTACTTTAATCCTTAAAATAGGAATTAAAGCAAACTCTCAGTGTATACGCAATAAGATACATACCACTCTCGGTGTATACAATCTTGTGTTAAGATGAGCTGATTTTAGAGACAGTATTATAAATATATATAATAGTTTTTAGGGTACAAAGATGCAGGCGAGCATTAATGGTACATTAGATTTTACAGAATTACCTCAAAAATGTTAGCGTGAGTAAATTTTATATTTACTAACAGGATGAGTGGCGCTGCCCAGCGACCCACCAGCCAAAAAAAAAATATATATATATATATTTCTTAGTGTCATTGTCCATCGCGTATTGCAATTTGCATCTGCTAGCAGGGACCGGCGCAGAGTGCTCAATGATTTTTTTACGTTGATGTTCTTTACGAATAAGTGAATTTATATGAACGCATAGAACGCCAGAGTGCTTATAGAAAATTCTGAAATGAAGGGCTGTCACAAGAGATCGTAAATGGAAGAGAACGACACAAATGAGACAAAGACGTCAGCAAGTACATTTTCACTCTTAGGGTGGTTTGAATGTGGAACGATCCGGAAAGGGAACTGGTGAAAGGTAACTGGTTAGCATAGGTAGTTTTAGGAGAAGGTTTGCTAGGGTCCAATCCGCTCCGAATAGCGTGAGTGTGAATAATTAAGAGGCAGGACCAGGAACAAGCACTCGATTCTTGTAACCAGAAACTAAGCATGAAGAAATATGTGAGTACAGACGAGTAAGTAGTTTGTTCCACACAAGAGCTTTGCACAACAGAAGAACGAAACAGCGAAGCATAGAGCTCTGCCTTGCTATCGTCTTTGTTCCTACACGCGCCTGTCTTATTTTCTGTTTCCTCTGTATTTAAGATGACAACATTTAACGCTTAGCTTTCCCCTGGCAAGAACACAGCATTTTCATTGTAGTGATCTTGACCAGGCGTGGTCTTATATATTCGCAGGTGGCGGTTTGGGCGTGTGTGGGCGTGGGCGTGGCGGAGGAGTGTCTCCCGTGCCTGTCATCTCCCTGCAGAAAGGTGACTGGACTCTTCACCCGGCCTACACTCCCCGTCGGATACAACCTGATAGCTCGAGTCCCGCCGCAGGCCTGCAACCTTACTGTCACAGAACTCAGAGCCTCTTCGAACTACCTAGGTCAGTCTTGAGAACCTTGCTAAATAGCGTAGACTGTATGATTATTATATTAAAAAAACAAGCTCTAACCCCATTATTTTAAAGTCCTGGCCGTGAATGTTAGGCAAGACGGTGCTTTCATTTTTTTTAATCGACGTTTTGAAGGTAAGTAGAGTGCGCCCTTCCTACCTTTTATATTTATTTCTCCCTCTTCTTATAGTAAATGCTGTGGGAAAGAAGGGTATATATACCCTTCCTGCTCGCGAAATCCAACGCCCATGTGGAACTTAGTTTGTAGTTTCCTATTTTGTATGTAGTCTAATTCCTTCATCGGGCACTTTATTATATAGTATCTGCTTTATTTTGTTTATGGGTCAGAGTCCCCTGGAACCCTTGATAAATGTTCACTCTGTGTTTTTGTCTCCGTCTCTTTATTAGAAAATCTTACTGCCCACTGAGTTTCTCTTGCTGTCTCTCCCTGGCAGCGGTGAGGACGGATCATGGGTACATCATCAATGGCAACTGGGCTGTGGTTCCCCCTGGGCGGTACATGGGGGCGGGTACTGGCTTCTTCTACAGCAGACCACGTACACTTACTGACGGTGGTGAGGTCATCCAGGCACCAGGCCCGCTCTCCAAGGCGATAGACATTATGGTAAGTTGTCGTGGGTGTTAGGGGTGGTGGGTGTTGGTGGAGGTATTGGTCATCTGGTATAGTGGTGGTGGTGGTGGTGGTGGTGGTGGTGGTGGTGGTGGTGGTGGTGGTGGTGGTGGTGTTGGCATGTGTGGTTGCGATGTTTAATTTTGGTGGGAGTCATCTGTTACATTGGTGGTGTGGGAGGGGGTTGGTATTGTTTGGGTGTTGTGCATGTGGTTGATGGTAGTAGCGAGTGGCGGTGGTGGTGTTGGTGATTACAGAGTATTGGTGCTGGTTACAAATTCCTTACAGAATTTTAGAATAGATTCAGAAATGGAAGGTAGTGACTTCTACTGTTTATAAACACTTGACAGACTAACAGAGATCAGAGAGTAAAACAGAGATATGTGTGATCTACATATTCCTGGAATGCAGTAAAATCTTTTGATACGGCGGGACAGAGACTCCTACTTTAATAACTAGAGAAAGGTACTTGCATGGGTAATCAGGTCGACCCAGGAAGGAGAGCTCAAATTCCATAAATCAAAAGCATTTCGTCAGCATCAAGGCATCCTCTTTTAACAAGGAAGCATGCATGGAGGATGCAATAAAACGAACATTTAATCTAAGGATTCAATAAATCACACATACGTATATATATATTCAGTATATGTAAATTATCAGGTTATATGAAAGATTCTTGCAGTATACATAATTAAGGTAATTTTGATCACTTTCCAAAATCATGGTGTTAGTCTTACATTAACAATTCTTTTAACAGATAATCTACCAGTCTACCAACCAGGGAGTGAGATACGAATATTGGCATCCAATGGGTCCTCCCTACCCGCCTCCGACCTTACAAGGGCGTGGGCGGGGGCGGGGGCGGGGGTATCCCCAACGAGGACAGTCAACCCTTCAAAACGTGCTGCCAGCCTACTTGGCCTCGACGCAGGGCGAGGGCGGCCTAGCGGCTGGTGATTACTCCACCACCCTCGACAACCGCTTAGGTTTGTCCCCCGCCATCCAGGGCTCCGTTGGGTACGTCATCGATAATAGCGTGGACGGTGTGGGTCTCCCGGGCGCCCCCGACACCGCCACACCCACCTGGAAGGTGTGGAAATTCACGCCATGTTCCCGGACCTGCGGCGGAGGTCAGTGTGTTACTCTAGCAGGTGAGAGCGCAAGTGTGTGATTGTGTCTGTCTCTGTTATTATATCCACGGGGAAGTGCTAATTCTGTAGAGGTCATACAACTCCTGGGCAATAAGGGGTAATTATATTGATCCAAGGAAAGTGAAGGGTAGCTCCAGGTTCATGTATCAAGAGCACTTCACCAGCTTCAAGGCGCCTCCTGGAGGGTTTATTCTGCATGTGGTACACTTTATAACTACCTGGAGTTTACCTGGAGAGAGTTCCGGGGGTCAACGCCCCCGCGGCCCGGTCTGTGACCAGGCCTCCTGGTGGATCAGAGCCTGATCAACCAGGCTGTTACTGCTGGCTGCACGCAAACCAACGTACGAGCCACAGCCCGGCTGATCAGGAACCGACTTTAGGTGCTTGTCCAGTGCCAGCTTGAAGACTGCCAGGGGTCTGTTGGTAATCCCCTAACCTATGAATTAGAAATGAAGAGTGAACGGTGCTCCAAGGTCTTCTCTTGATTTCCATCTTCTCCCAGTGGTATAAAACACACCGATATATCGTCTAATTTTCATTTCAAGTTCGTGAATTAGCTGATGATTTTTTCCAAGACATGATATTGTGGCTGTTTCTGGAAAGAGGAGGGTTGACGATGCTTCCGTCACTCTATCTCTTCGACCTGGTCATTAAGTCGTGATTCACACATTCTGCTGCTGCCTCACTCTTACCTGCTTCTTCACGCCTAGCTCTTACCTGTGACCGGTTTCGAGAACTCTTCCAACCCCAGCAGCCCGACCTGAGACCAGGTTCACCGCTTGACCATTTGGTCAATCAGGCTGTTTGTACTCGTGGCCCACAGTCCCATAGAGCCATCAGAGATCAATTGATCCGGCACTTATAACAGGAAGCTGTCCAACTTCTTGAAACTATCTTCGTTCCAGCAATATTTCTGGAATCTATTGGTAGTATGTTGAAGTTTGGAACTACGGATGTTGACACGGTGTTCTCTGATTGTATCCTGTACTCTCTGGAGCTGCCTCACTCTCACCGGCCTCCTTCTCCCCAGGGCAGCAGCAGACGGTATACATCTGCACTGGCTTGGGTGGAGCCGTCATGCAGGAGGAGATGTGCCAGGCACCTAAACCACCTCCACAGACAGTTAACTGTAACCCTCGTCCCTGCCCGCCCACGTAAGTAACACCATAGTCCAGGTTCGTACACAGAAACATTTTTATCACCGTATTCTTCTTAGTATTATTACTGCTCTTAATAATAAAAATTGATGATGAAAGTTAAGACGAGCTAGATTACTGTCACTTGCTTCATATATAATTTTGGCAGGTTAGAGATACGATAAAGACTTTACTTGTATTATTAACAGGGAGGGTTAGCCAGAGAAAGTCACTTAGTCTGGCTTATTTCCGTCGAGGTACTTCGAGCCTCTTCCCATTATGCTACTCACAGTATTCGACAATACCCAGGTAAAAGACGCTAGGAAACATGACCAACGTTTCCACTTGTGCTAGTTTCAAACCCGAGTCGTTCAGTTGTGAGTTGAACTAGCTTTCACTCACCCAGGAGCTGGCAAAATGAATTGATGCTTAATTTTAATGATCGAGCACATTCTTCAGAATACCATGATGGATTGATCTATATGGTAGGATTGATGTACATGGCAGGTATGACAGGAAAGTTCATAGATGACACGTTATACATACTCTTTCCCATTGTGCACTATTTTGTACTATTACCTACGAATATTTTTCGTTCAGTTTTTGGGTTATCCTAGGTAATTTACACATATGTTGCTAAGTATGATTATCTGTGTAACTGTATTTATGTGTACCTTTACCTAAATAAACTTACTAACTCAAGAAACTAGTTACCCAGTCTTAAGCAACACTTTTTTCAAGACTTCCTCGAGATGTTACCTGACTACGGTGTGGTTCTTCTCAGGTGGCAGCTGGGGGAGTGGTCACAGTGTTCCACCACCTGTGGAACTGGGATCATGACCAGGACGTGGGCATGTGTACAGGAGGTCACACCCACGCTCGTCCGTGCTGTCCCGCCCGCCACTTGCCCCCCTCCCTCCAGAGCAACCATGGTGCCCCTCACGCAGCCGTGCATCCTTGCCCCATGTTCAAGATGGGAGGTCACTGCTTGGACACAGGTGAGCCATACACGAAAAATAAAAAGGTTAGCAATGACTTAATAACGTAGTTAGCCAAATCTGTTGAAAGTCCATTTTCTTTTGAAACGTTTTCTATTATACAAAAATTAAAATTTAAGCATAAACTCTTGTATATTCACACATCTAGGCAGTAGACGCTCGAATAACTCGGCATTTTACACGAGATCGTGCTAAGCAATCTAAAGAACATAGAAAGCATAGAGTTACGTTCCTGTCATTTCGAGAAAACCCTGTTAAAAGTTTCGCCACAAAATTTGATTAACACAAGCCTATCCGATGTTATCCTGACGCCAAATGACTTCGAACAGGCGATAAATGACATGCCCATGCACTCTGCCCCAGGGCCAGACTCATGGAACTCCGTGTTCATCAAGAATGCAAGAAGCCCCTATCACGAGCCTTTTCCATCCTATGGAGAGGGAGCATGGACACGGGGGTCGTCCCACAGTTACTAAAAACAACAGACATAGCCCCACTCCACAAAGGGGGCAGTAAAGCAACAGCAAAGAACTACAGACCAATAGCACTAACATCCCATATCATAAAAATCTTTGAAAGGGTCCTAAGAAGCAAGATCACCACCCATCTAGAAACCCATCAGTTACACAACCCAGGGCAACATGGGTTTAGAACAGGTCGCTCCTGTCTGTCTCAACTATTGGATCACTACGACAAGGTCCTAAATGCACTAGAAGATAAAAAGAATGCAGATGTAATATATACAGACTTTGCAAAAGCCTTCGACAAGTGTGACCATGGCGTAATAGCGCACAAAATGCGTGCTAAAGGGATAACAGGAAAAGTCGGTCGATGGATCTATAATTTCCTCACTAACAGAACACAGAGAGTAGTCGTCAACAGAGTAAAGTCCGAGGCAGCTACGGTGAAAAGCTCTGTTCCACAAGGCACAGTACTCGCTCCCATCTTGTTCCTCATCCTCATATCCGACATAGACAAGGATGTCAGCCACAGCACCGTGTCTTCCTTTGCAGATGACACCCGAATCTGCATGACAGTGTCTTCCATTGCAGACACTGCAAGGCTCCAGGAGGACATCAACCGAATCTTTCAGTGGGCTGCAGAAAACAATATGAAGTTCAACGATGAGAAATTTCAATTACTCAGATATGGTAAACACGAGGAAATTAAATCTTCATCATAGTACAAAACAAATTCTGGCCACAAAATAGAGCGAAACACCAACGTCAAAGACCTGGGAGTGATCATGTCGGAGGATCTCACCTTCAAGGACCATAACATTGTATCAATCGCATCTGCTAGAAAAATGACAGGATGGATAATGAGAACCTTCAAAACTAGGGAGGCCAAGCCCATGATGACACTCTTCAGGTCACTTGTTCTATCTAGGCTGGAATATTGCTGCACACTGACAGCACCTTTCAAGGCAGGTGAAATTGCTGACCTAGAAAATGTACAGAGAACCTTCACGGCGCGCATAACGGAGATAAAACACCTCAATTACTGGGAGCGCTTGAGGTTCCTGAACCTGTATTCCCTGGAACGCAGGCGGGAGAGATACATGATTATATACACCTGGAAAATCCTAGAGGACTAGTACCGAACTTGCACACGAAAATCACTCACTACGAAAGCAAAAGACTTGGCAGACGATGCAACATCCCCCCAATGAAAAGCAGGGGTGTCACTAGCACGTTAAGAGACCATACAATAAGTGTCAGGGGCCCGAGACTGTTCAACTGCCTCCCAGCATACATAAGGGGGATTACCAACAGACCCCTGGCAGTCTTCAAGCTGGCACTGGACAAGCACCTAAAGTCGGTTCCTGACCAGCCGGGCTGTGGCTCGTACGTTGGTTTGCGTGCAGCCAGCAGCAACAGCCTGGTTGATCAGGCTCTGATCCACCAGGAGGCCTGGTCACAGACCGGGCCGCGGGGGCGTTGACCCCCGGAACTCTCTCCAGGTAAACTCCAGGTAATTCGTCAAAAATATTAAATATTTCCATTTCTAAAGCTGTATAATTCTACGGGTTTAGCGCTCCCAATAATAATAATAATAATAATAATAATAATAATAATAATAATAATAATAATAATAATCCATTTCTAAAAATATTGATGTTACTTGTCGAACTGGAAATTTGTTGAGAGGGCTGATGGGGGCATCGACACCATGCCCAGCTCTTCTAGGGTAGGGTAGGTGCCTGAGCCAGAGCTTGCAGCTCACAAGACTGCCATTCCCATTAGCCCCCTTGGGGCGGGGATGGCAGACCAGAGAGGCCTAGCTTCTCCCTACAAACCCCGTGAGGGCGGGGAATGTGGCTAGGCCTGGGGATAGTTGGTCCCAACGATGAGGAGGAACTTGTGTCTCCTCCCATGGGAGACATTAGTCTGAGATACTCCCGAGACAGGAAGCCAAGGCCGGGCCACCACTTGGAAAAGGCCCGGGGATAGTTGGTCCCAACGATGAGGAGGAACTTGTGTCTCCTCCCATGGGAGACATTAGTCTGAGATACTCCCGAGACAGGAAGCCAAGACCGGGCCACCACTTGGAAAAGGCCCGGGGATAGTTGGTCCCAACGATGAGGAGGAACTTGTGTCTCCTCCCATGGGAGACATTAGTCTGAGATACTCCCGAGACAGGAAGCCAAGACCGGGCCACCACTTGGAAAAGGCCCGGGCCGGGAGAGTACCGGCGAATCAAGAAGAAGAAGGCTGATGGGGCATTATACAGTGCCTATACGAGTATGTAACAGGCAGTATCAGCTACCATAACCATCACTTACTAACATTAGAAAAAAATAAGCCTCATTTTCTTACAAAACTGTACCATAGGTTACACTTGCTTGTTGATATGCTAATGTGTGTATAGGATTGGTTTGGCTCCGAACAACACCTGTACACATCATGTATCAGCTACCATCATCATTCCCTGCATATATCGATAAAAACAAGCCACATTTCTTCAGTATATTATATCGAACATATAGGAACTCACCACATTTATATTAAATATGTACCAAAGGTGAATTGGAGAAACTAATAATATAAAACTTAATACTATTGTACATTAATAAACTGGCAAGGGAGGTTGTTGTTGTTGTTGTTGTTGTTGGATATTTACGGAGCTGTATGAGCCCTGCTCCCAGTGGTGTGCATGACCAGTACTATGTATGTTGTGGTGGCTCTATGAACTCTGTCCAGAAATATTTTTCATGGCGACACCGTGAGACTATCCCTTCGCTTTCTCATTTCATTACTTCTTCATACTTCCTTATCGATCACCAGTTGTAGAAATGCAGCTAGGGATGGAAATGATTATTAAAGGCACGATAATGTACAATCACAGTGTAGTTTTTACTTAGGCTCAGGATACATAACAAAAATGTACATTACGATCTTCTAGGCACAGAGATGTTGTGATCTGCGATGCATGATCCTCGTAGGTTTAGCGCTTTTTATAATAATAATAATAATAATAATAATAATAATAATAATAATAATAATAATACAATGATGTTGTGTGTACATTAAAACTACATTATGTAGATTTAAAACAGAGTACTTTAACACTTCCTCATGATTAAAATAATAGACACGGGTTTAGTTTTAACAGTGGTAATTATATTTCTTAATTAGACCTGTTCATGGGAAGTGATAAACCAATAGGGGTCTTACAATAACTTGGAATATGAGGGGGAGCTCCAATTCTTTGAATCTGGAAACCTTCACCATCATCAAGGTAATCCCTTGAAGGGTTTTGACCTGTTGAACTAATCCTTGGTTCCTTCGACAGTGTTCTGTTGAATGTGGTACTGGGATCAAAACTCGTGTGGTGTCCTGCCGTGCAGAGGGACGCCGTGTGGGGGACGACCAGTGCAACGTGCAGGAGAAGCCTCCCAAGCAGGAACTGTGTCACGCCCACACGTGTTCACACCACACCTGGTTCTACACGGACTGGTCGGAGGAGGTGAGTGGACGGAAACTGCCCAAACTTCCCTTGTCTCCGATAGAAACACAGTTCTTTTTCGTATGTGTGTGTATTCACCTAGTTGTACTCATCTAGATGTGGTTGCAGGGGTCGATTCATAGCTCCTGGCCCCCGCCTCTTCACTGGTCGCTGCTGGGTCACTCTTCCTGCTCTATGAGCTTTATCATACCTCTTCTTGAAGCTAAGCTATGTATGGATCCTGCCTGTGTGTGTGTGTGTGTGCAAGGGTGAATATGTGCTTCTAATAGTCTCATGACCAAGCCCACAGGATAGGTATGGAGTGGTTACCGCCCACAGGATGGACATCGGATGGCTACCTCCTACTAAATGGATATTGGCTATATAATAACACTATTAAACTGTTACATTACAGTGTGTGGGCGGGTGTGAGAACGGTGTACAAAGGCGTCGCGTGTGGTGTTCACCAGGAATCAACTCAGTGGAGGGAGAGTGTGACCAGCAGGAGAGACCTCCAGAAACCCGTGCTTGTCCCCGGGCCGACGCCTGCGCTGCTGCCTGGTTCACTGGACCCTGGACACCGGTACGATTATATATATATATATATATATATATATATATATATATATATATATATATATATATATATATATAAATATATATATATATATATATATATATATATATATATATATGTCGTGCCGAATAGGCAGAACTTGCTATTTTGGCTTAAATAGCAACGCTCATCTTGCCATATAGGACAAGTAAAAATTTGTGTATGCAATAATTTCGCAGAAATCATTCTGAACCTAACGAAAAAAATATATTTCATTGTGTTTGTTTAGTATTAAATTACTGTAAAAGTATTTAAAATATATTTAGTTGGGTTAGGCTAAAATAAATTGCACTTGTTATAATAAGGTTAGGTAAGTTTTCTAAGATTCTTTTGGTGCAAAATTAAAATTTTTTACATTAGCATTAATGAAAAAAATATATCTTTAAACGTATTAGAGAAAATTTTAGAAAGGACTTAATTTTATATGAGTTCTTGCTAATTGACCAGTTTTACATATTCGGCACGACATATATATATATATATATATATATATATATATATATATATATACATATATATATACATATATATATATATATATATATATATATATATATATAATATATATATATATATATATATATATATATATATAATATATATATAATATAGGGAGGTACCACTTCTAGAAACTGTTATAGGGACCCTCATCCTCAGAGAAAAGAATAAACTTGCTTCAGGGAAAACTCAAGGTTCTCCCTGAAGCTGTTTGAGAATTTTCTCCTACCACCCCCTATATTTTATGTATATTTTATTTAAAGACAAAATACATTATTATATATATATATATATATATAATATATATATATATATATATATATAATATATATATATATATATATATATATATATATATATATAATATATATTATATATATGCAAAGCAACCACTGTGAAAGAATAGTGAAATTTCAAGCGCTTTCGTGACTACTCACATTATCAAGGAACAATAAAAGTAATACATCAAAGGAAGGCATATAAAGGGTCTATACCACACCTCACCACTACATCCCACAACAAAGCAACACCTGACGCGCGACGACATGCGATTCATAAGAAAGAGAACACTGCAGCAGGCCCGCTTGCCCATAAACAAACTATTCTACCCAAGCATTAAGATTTATTATTTGTCCAATGTATTATTAAATTCTTCCCAAATTCTATTAATTATAAATGGATCTAATTTATATAAACCAAAGGAAATATATTATTTTCAAAACTGCTTTTTATGAAACAAGATTCAATTATATTCCTGTCGACCATGGACTTGCTTGATACTACTTTCTCAACTTTTTGAAAATCAATTGGATGGTTAAAATCTCTTACATGAATAAATAGAGCATTGGAATCTTGTCCAGTTCTAATGCTATATAATTAAATAGCTTAGCCCATTCTATAAACTTTACTGTTGAGTTTGAAGAAAATAACTCATTGCCTTTTCTAGATGTTTTAATTATTAAGGGTAATAATGAATTCAAATTTAAAATTTACAGAAAACCTACAAATAACTGTTCCTATGTCCACTATTATTCCTCGCATCAAGATAGAGTCAAACTGTCTGTTTTCTCATCAATGTTTTTGAGAGCTTTACGAATTTGTAGTCCTGAGTTCATAGATGAGGAAATATCCAAAATTTATGAAATAGGTAATGATTTAAAATACCCAAGAAATGTAATTGATAAATCTTTTAAAGTTGCTAGAAATACTTTTTACAATCCAAAAAGGGACAACCAGCCTTATTCAACTAAAAATATGTTGGTTCTCCCTTACCATGAAACTTGGTTGATATGCCTTCTCTTCTTAAGACTATTAATATTAAAGTTGTATTCAAAAATCTTGATACAGTAAAAAAACTTTTGATAAGGAATTCCCCCAAAATGCTGATGGATGTGTCTATAAGATTCCTTGTAAAATTTGCGATAAAGTTTATTACGGTCAAACTGGTAAAAATCTCGAACTAAGATTAAAACAACATAAATATAGCATTAGAACTGGACAAGATTCCAATGCTCTATTTATTCATGTAAGAGATTTTAACCATCCAATTGATTTTCAAAAAGTTGAGAAAGTAGTATCAAGCAAGTCCATGGTCGACAGGAATATAATTGAATCTTGTTTCATAAAAAGAGTTTTGACAATAATATGAATATTTCCTTTGGTTTATATAAATTAGATCCATTTATAATTAATAGAATTTGGGAAGAATTTAATAATACACTGGACAAATAATTTTTAAATTTTCTTGGGGCTCTGGTGGCCTGGTGGTTAACGCTCTCGCTTCACACGGTGAGGGCCTGGGTTCGATTCCCAGCCAGAGTAGAAACATTGGACGTGTTTCTTTCAACCTGTTGTCTATGTTCCCCATCAGTAAAATGGGTACCTGGGTGTTAGTCGACTGGTGTGGGTCGCATCCTGGGACACTGACCTAAGGAGGCCTGGTCACAGACCGGGCCGCGGGGGCGTTGACCCCCGGAACTCTCTCCAGGTAAACTGCTCCAGGTAGAATAGTTTGTGGGGTGAGTTGTGCAAAGGACCTATCCAAGTTGGGTCGGCGCGCGTCAGCTGTTTAAACGTTGTGGGATCTGATAGTGAGGTGCTGGCCAGACCCCTTATATAGCTTCCTTGGATGCTTTACTTTCATATGTCGCATCATTGTAGAAACCTTTCTCCCTCGGGAGCCAGAGACGGGTCATCGCAAGATTGAGACCCGTGCCAGGACTACGGTCTTGGCGAACATTATACATACTTACTTTCATAGTTCCTTGATAATGTGAGTAGTCACGAAAGCGCTTGGAATTTCTCTATTCTTTCAGAGTGGTTGTTTTGCATATTCTGAAATCACCTGTTTACTGTGATCTTATATATATATATATATATATATTATATATATATATATATATATATATATATATATATATATAATATATATATATATATATATATATAATATATATATATATATATATATATATATATATATATATATATATATATATAATATATTAGTGTGACCACGAACAAATGGTATTGATCTATAATAACACTGCGACTAGCCAATGATTCGAACTCATGCTGCTTTGGCCCACCTCATGGTGAGCGAAAACCCATGACGCTCTAACCCACAGGACAACGCAATCCTACAAGAACCAAGCACCCAGCCAAGCTATGTGTGTTACCCTTGGTCCGAGGACATACGGTGATGTGGGTGCTTCTGCCAACCAAACGGGAGGAGAATGAAATTAGCCCACAGGCACCCACACCACCGTATATCTTCGGACCAAGGGTAACACACCTAGCTTGGTCAGATGCTTGATTCTTGTAGGATTGTGTGGTCCTGCGGGTTAGAGTGTCATGGGTTTTCGCTCACCATGAGGCGGGCCAAAGCAGCATGGGTTCGAATCCTTGGCTAGACGCAGTGTCGCTAGTGATATATATATATATATATATATATATATATATATATATATATATATATATATATATATATATATATATATATATATATATATATATATATATATATATAGTGTTACTGACTTTTTTAACTATTTTGATGCAGTGTTCGGAAGGCTGTGGGAGCGGCATACAGACCAGGGAGGTAGTGTGTGTGGTATTCCTGAGGGGGACCTTCAGGGCCACGCTTGATATCGAATGTAACGCCGATACTCGCCCTAATGCCACCCTCACGTGCAACCCTGATCCCTGCCCTCCACACTGGTACTACACTGACTGGTCACAGGTTAGTTGTGACCCTCCACATAAACAGAGGATGGGTAGTGGGTTGGTAGACAACAAACTACTCACCTGAGAGTAAAAGGGTAACCTTCTAAATGTTTTTTTGCATAAACTGAATTGCTGATCGTTCCTTTCTGCTGTATGAAAATGCAAAGTTTTAAGAGAAATCTTCTAATTCCTTCACACTTTCAGCATACACTTATTTTAAACTTTCTGTGTTTCGTAAAAGTTTTTATTTAAGTTTTTCTTGTTCCATTAATATTATCTCTACCTCGCAGAATCCTGGTTTGAAATTGAATCTTGGAAAAATTGGGTTTGATGAGGTAACAAATAATTTTAATGTGTCTCCTTTCAGTTTATTGATCTTCGTTAAAAATATTTAACATCATGGTAACGAAACCTTTGAGGAGCAATTGACAGTTCGTGGTCACATGTAACTATTTGCATCATTTATCCTTACAGTGTTCTCGCACTTGCGGCAGGGGGAGCCGCACGCGGTCAGTACAGTGCCTCGACCACCAGCAACAGCCATCCACACGTTGTAACATCGACGAAAAGCCGCCTACCACCCGCAGCTGCGTCGAGCAGCCTTGTAACGCCCCTAGCGGTAAGCTGAACTCAAGTTAGCCATAGGTTTAATGTTGTAGAGGACCTCCATGAGAGGCAGGTATTATCTTTTTTAAGAGAGAAAGAAATGATTCATATTAGCGATGAACTCATGTGGGGTCAGGTAGAGCAAGACAGCGGAGGCTCGATCCTTCGTCTGCTGAACGCGAGACAGACACGTTCTATTTGCACTCACATAAATTTTCCCCAGTTTAGGAGAACTGGGGAAAATTTCTCCTGACTTTTGGCCTTAATTAAGTTGCATGGTACTCCTCTCAGTTGAGCAAGTGGTCGTCTGACTGAGGCCTTCTGATGGCTTACATATACCTCTTCCCCCCAAAAATGAAATATTATTTGAAACAAAGGTAAATATCAGGGGATAAAATGTTTAATGTACCCATTGTATGTGTTTCAGACAGGGGCTGTGTAGACCGCTTTAAAAACTGCGTGTTGGTGCAGCAGGCCCGTCTCTGCCGCTACTCGTATTACCGTACCGTCTGCTGTGCCTCCTGCTTCCAGCAGCAGTAACGTCATGCTTCGCAGCATACCATCTCCAGCACCTGCCTCTTCCCTCTCTCTTTTGCTTCATACATTCTACTGATTCATCTTGATCAACTTGAAGTAAATTTAATTCTACGAGTCAAATCTTGACATTTATGTGATATCACTTTCAGTTATTTCTATGATGTTTATACTTAAAAAAATCGAAAATGCATACTCATTTGTTCACCATTGTTTATGGTACACACTGTAATTTAACTCTTCTTTTTTCAGTGACAATATAAAATATACATTCCCCAGTTATTTTCTGTCATATCCTCGTACAGTTGACACATACTCCAGTCTCTACGACCTGCCAGGAAATCAGAGGCAACTATGCTGATACAGGATTTATCAAATTGTCGATATATTTGGGAAAAACTTGAGGCCAGTTAGTGGAAAACCTGGACCCCAGCCAGTGAGGAAAGTGAATCCCAGTCCGAGTGGGGAAACTGGACCCCAGCTAGTGAGGAAAGTGAATCCCAGTCAGAGTGGGGAAACTGGACCCCAGCTAGTGAGGAAAGTAAATCCCAGTCAGAGTGGGGAACTGGACCCCAGCTAGTGAGGAAAGTGAATCCCAGTTAGTGTGGGGAGGAACTGGACCCCAGCTAGTGAGGAAAGTGAATCCCAGTCAGAGTGGGGAACTGGACCCCAGCTAGTGAGGAAAGTGAATCCCAGTTAGTGTGGGGAGGAACTGGACCCCAACTAGTGAGAAAAGTTGAACAAAGCCACTTAACAAACTACTTACGTTCATGCTGCATTCATGAGAGAACTGCTCAAGAACGCCATCGTATGAACAATAGTGCAATGCTCGAGCTCTAACAGTCACGATGATATATTCAGAATTTTAGTAAGTGGAATTTCTTTCACTGTTTGATATTCAGTCTTCGCAACATCTTTGTATTTAAAACAGGTGGATAATATTATTTTTTCGGGTAAACTGAAACATTCAATTCTTTATTGGCAGGTCTGTTTTATCTGCTTAATACATGAGAATGTTCGTCCTCCTCTCATACTGCCTATTACAACTTATGTCGTCTTTATTCATTATACAAATAGAATGAAAAAACTCACGAAATCATAGTAGCACGACTATAAACAAATCACGGAACGGATGGTGTTTGAACTCATGGCGAGTGAATCCTAACTCACTGGTCTGCGAGTCTTAGGACTCGTCATAGGTTCAGATCCCACCCGTTCCCTGATTTGATCAGAATGCAGAAACCTTATGTGTGTTGGACAGACTCCTCAGTTCTTTCGATTAACAAATATATTTTAAGATACTCTTCTAGAATATTTCAACAAATTAAGCGGATTTGAATATCACATAAATTACAGTTTTTTTTTTCAAATAATAATAGAAATAAACTAAGTTAGATATTTATTGGGTAATTGTTAGTCGACTCTATAGTCGACTAACAATTACCCAATAAATATTTAACTTAGTTGATAGCAGAGGTGCGGCCACTCAGCGAAATATTCACATCGTAATACACCCACTGAAAATGCATCAGGCTTAATAATCATTATTTTCATTCACGTTCATTTCGATGTGAGAAAAATCCGGTAATTTTCAAGTAACATGACAGTCTGGTCAGTCAAGTAACATGGCAGGCTGGTCAGTCAAGTAACATGACAGTCTGGTCAGTCAAGTAACATGACAGGCTGGTCAGTCAAGTAACATGACAGTCTGGTCAGTCAAGTAACATGACAGGCTGGTCAGTCAAGTAACATGACAGTCTGGTCAGTCAAGTAACATGACAGTTTGGTCAGTCAAGTAACATGACAGCCTGGTCAGTCAAGTAACATGACAGTCTGGTCAGTCAAGTAACATGACAGTCTGGTCAGCCAAGTAACATGACAGTCTGGTCAGCCAAGTAACATGACAGCCTGGTCAGTCAAGTGACATGACAGTCTGGTCAGCCAAGTAACATGACAGCCTGGTCAGTCAAATAACATGCCAGTCTGGTCAGTCAAGTAACATGACAGTCTGGTCAGTCAAGTAACATGACAGTCTGGTCAGCCAAGTAACATGACAGTCTGGTCAGCCAAGTAACATGACAGCCTGGTCAGTCAAATAACATGCCAGTCTGGTCAGTCAAGTAACATGACAGCCTGGTCAGTCAAATAACATGCCAGTCTGGTCAGTCAAGTAACATGACAGCCTGGTCAGTCAAATAACATGCCAGTCTGGTCAGTCAAGTAACATGACAGTCTGGTCAGTCAAGTAACCGAGGTAAGGAGATTCCAGACTTACAGGAAAAAAAATAATATCCAGTATTGTTTTATAATGAATATTGTCTATTTTCACGTTTTACAATAGGAAAGTCTATCTGTCTATCCACTTGTGCGATTCTCGAATTTAATTATAAGATCTGAATTTTCTTTGAGTCGCAGAAAGAGAAAAACAGTGTTACAAAATACTTAGTCATCATTTTGTCCAACATTTCTTTGTGGATGGACAACAAGTTATGCTTTTAGATTATTCATTTTTTCTCCTTAATAGACTGTTGGTATCATCCGTGGCTGGGAGATATTTTTGTTAATAAATGTGAATAATAACTAATAAATACACAGTACGTATATTTGTTAGTTGAATCGCTGTTATGAGACGTTATTATTCTCACTTATATACGTATGTAATATCATGAATTTTGGTGAACTTGGTCATTGTTCTCGTTTGTGGCTTACACCCACATGACAGACACCATTCCCACGAGCCCTCCTAGGGCGGGGAAAGTGCCAGAAACCAGGGCTTGCTGCCACCTACAGCACAACAGGCTGTCATTCCCACGAGCCCTCTTGGGGCGGGGAAGATGGCAGACCAGAGGCCTAGCTTCTCCCTACGAGTCCCGTGAGGGCGGGGAATGGGACTAGGCCTGGGGAGAGTTAGTCTCAGAAGATGAGGTACTTCTACCTCCTCCCATGGGAGACAGGTCTCAGACACTCCCAAGACAGGGAGCGAAGGCCGGGTCACCATCTGGAAAAGACCCGGACCGGGAGAGTCCCGGCGAATCAAGAAGAAGAACCACCCACATGTGTCTGGGGATGAATATTCATTTGTTGTTCAATAAGCACAACATTAACACTTCACATGTTAAAAATAAATTAATGGAACCCTTCCTGGATTTTGGTTTTGCTATTTATCTTGTGTGGACAAGAAAAAAAACCTGGTGAATAGAAAAGCATAGGCTTCTGAGTTTGTCCTCTTGTGATAATACATTAAAAATCTATATAAAGGGAATTGAATGACACGCCTATTAACAAGAGACTATAATAGCATAACCAGATGAATGTACAGCCTATTATATGCATTATGGGTAAAATAAAAAGACATCTGCAGCATCAGGGCGAAAAACAAGTGCTCCGTGGTAGACATATTTTGATGGTTCCTTCTCATAATATGATAAGATCCGTGATCACTACTGAAACACATATAACATCAGTTATGTTAACCACTTATAAGGTCTTATTTTCACGTGTTTATGGTTTTAGGACAGAATTATCTATATTGTAGATTGTGTGTAAGTTCTCTTCCTCTCGTGGACATAATATGTCAGACTAACCCAGAGAGGATGAAACGTTGTTTTGTGGTAACATTAAATAACATACACTACAGTGTATTGTGTATCATGGACGAATAATTTTATCTTGTGGAGATATATAATACAAATATACTAGTAAATACCCGAGGATTGACGGTTTCACCCGAAGTTTATGTTGTGAGTACTATGGAGTAGCCTAGGAGAGAGCCGTGTAAACAAATAACGCAGTATAGTGTAAGAAGCAGCTGATGACGTGGGTCATTGTATGCTAGGAGAAGGTTTTCTAATGTACCTACATTTAGTGATATTTTTTAACATTTCATCATTATTGTAAATAGTAGAGTAACCAATTTAAGGGAAAAAAAAGTAATTTGCATAATAGATCAAGAGCCAAAGACATGTAACAGTCATTTTCACTCATAAAGATTATAAATATACCAAACTTTTGTTTCACTTATTCTTAAAGTCACACTTCACAACAGACACGTTAATACTTTTTCCGCAGGTGTTTATGTGGTCGTTGGTGAGGACTAAGAAAAGTCTTACAGGTGTTTTCGTAAATAATGATTATTATTATTATTATTATATTTATGGAGAAGTGCCACCTTAATGGTCATACAACGTGAAAGGTATGAGAGGCAATAGGGTATGATCCGAGGAAATGGAGGACAGATCCTGTTCCCTGGATCAACAACATCTCTTTGTCGTCCAGATACCTTCCCTTGAAGCGAAGGCTGTTTAGCAGGCAAAGATTCATTGAATATTCACTTATTAGACAGCACACCCAAAAATAAAACTATTTCTAGGCTACGACACTTGATGATGGTGAAAGATTCTTGATCCGAGGGATCTGAGCACTCCATCCTTGAATAAAAACCTGATTACCTCCCATCACCTGGACCTGCATTGTCAGGTTCTTTTAAAAACTGTCCTGTTAAACAGCTGTTTACAGTGTCAAAACAGAAAGAACCGTTTTAATATTTTTCGAATACACATGTTCTTTTTCTCGGTTTAGTATCCAAGTTTTACAAAGAGACTGTCCTAGATTAGCCAAGAATATTTGGAAACAGAGCGGGCCTAGCGCTTCCACTGAATATAATAAAAAATAATAATAATAATTAAAACTACTACAATTACTAATAATAAACATAAGATATTCGTAACTCCTACCTATATGTGGTTTCCTAGATCTTAAAAACTCTCTAGCCAGTGATAAGTAACCTGAATTATATTGTCTTCCTACAAATATAAAATCATTACGACTGTATTCTACTAACGGGAATCAAAACTTGGGATATCTTGGGTAGATAATTACGACATGTAATTATCTACCCTCAGGTAACGAACCCGGGTCCTTTCGGTTGTGAGCTGTCTGCATTTACACACAGCTATAGGTCATATTAGCTAACTTTTGTTGCCTTGGGGTGTGGAGTCTGTGGACAATAACGTGCACCTCCCTCCCACCTCACCATGACAGTGTACGGTATGTGCGCGTGGCGTGTGTATATATGTCTTGTGTAGATATGCGTGCGTGCGTGCGTGCGTGCGTGCATGGGTGGGTTCTGGCACGGGCACAGGCTGGGATAGGGCCTCAGTGGCGCGGGTTAAGTTGTGGGGCCAACATGGCTAGCCAGTCGCGGAAGCATAACGAAATGGATCCACATGTAAAAACTCGCTCTATAGAGAAGACGCTGCTGCCTCTTGTCACCCAGGTGAGTGCCCGGCGTGTCCCGCCGTGACCCTGACGTGCCTGTACATGTGTGTGTGTGTGTGGACTCGTGCTGGCCGCGTCGCTCTGTTTACCTCGGCCAGCTGGCAACGTCTCCCGTCCTTTGCACTCGGCTCTGGCTTCTGTTTAGAACATCCCTTGTCATCCACCAGTTACTGAACATACACATGCTCTCGCGTTCGTATGGGTATCCAGCGACCACCGGTTGCATACAAATTCTCGAAGCCCTTGAGTGAGTGCCAAATTCTCTGCAGTCACTTTACGTGCACCATGTTGTAAATATGCCGCACGTGTTGCAAAAGATGTTGACGGAAATGCGTCCAAGAAAAGGACGTGAGGGCCAAGAAAACTTGCGACCTAGGTAGATGAACTAGGCAGAACAAGACCTTATTTGTTTTTAATATCGCCTGAGAGATAATAACTCAATATAACCAACGTCAAAGAGGTTTGGCTTATTTTCGTTGGGAGTCCTTAAGACCTACCCCAGGATAAGTCTCACAAGGCATCTTCTAGGTATCTCTACTGCTAGGTAAACAGGGGCAGCAGGTGTTAGAAAACCTTTCCAGCTGTCTTGCCTCACCTTAAAATGAATCCAGGTCTTCTGGATTGTGAGCGAAACTCTCTACCACTGGACTACAATGTAGAGATACGGCTCGTTTTTCCATCCCGAGCATCGCCAAGAAAAAAAGCTTATTGGAAATCTTTCTTTTGAGAAAGAGGAAAGGGAATATATGCTCACACCTGTCTTCAGCCACACATCCCAAAACCTACACCACCTAAATAAGATTCATGGACTAAATAGACCAATCAAACCGAAAGGTGAAAGCACACCTGACATTGAAGGAATTACTTTTTTCTTACTAAAGAAGAAGAAGAAGAAGAAGAAGAAGAGGGAGGAGGAGGAGGAGGAGGATTAAAAAAAAATGTTGTGTGTTATGAAGAAAACTCGGAGGTTTCCTATCATAGCCAACATCCTCTAACCTATCCTAAAACCAAAAGAATCTGGTAAACTAAATCCAGGTCCTATGACCAGTCATATAGTCAAAACTCGAAGGTTATTCATATCTTGGAGCATTGCAAAGTAATCTTCGACTTTTATAAGGATATCAAATTTGCTAGAACAATTATTATCCTATCCTTGCTGACAAGCAAAATAGTTCAGGACAGTTTCCTGGCTTATATCGAAGTATATCTTCAAAGCAGGCTGGCCAGGGACACAAGTCCAGAGCCATCAAACATCTTCGTGCCCTTTGAGAGTTAGACCTCGCATCTAATTCCTGCAGGTAACTCTGTTTAAATATTTTGGAAGAGAAATCCAAAGTGATGACCAATAAAAAAGGACCTACATATCACAAACACCTCTCTACGACACCTACCAGTGGGAACTCAGAAGTATCAACAGGTCCGATACTGAGGCGAGGCGAGACGAGGCATATGGACAATCCCCGTACACTTTCTGCCCCTGTTCACCTATTATGAGTAGCATCCTAGGGCAGATTATCTAAAAGACCTCCAATGGAATTTAGCTATACTGCTTGCCTTTCTTAATTTATGCTGGGTTATTAAAACATCGAAGTTTATGATCCGAAGTGCAGAGAGTTACTTTCACCTTTGCATCCCTACCATATATCAAACCACAAACACACCCTACTGAATCTCATACAACATCTCTGTCAGAAACCGCATCACAAAAAAGAATTTCCCGACCACCTTACAGCCTCCTTTTCAGTTACACCTTCTTAAGAGAAATTTAAGAGAGCTTCAAAAATATTTTTGATTGACATAAAGGAGAATTTCCAGCACTAGCTGCATGAGTGAGGGAGGGAACTCAAGAACAGCCAATGGTAGGAAGGAAGGAAGGAAGGACGCAACCACCAGCTGGTTAGGTGAGGAAGTAACCCCTAACACCAGCCAGTGGGGGTAAGGAATGGACCAACACCAAATGGTGAGATGAAGTAAGGGATCTGTTACCAGCAAGTTGGATGAGGGAGGGACTACAACACCAAAGGTGTTGGTGAAGGTGAATAACTAACACCAGCCGGTTGGGAAAGGGAAGTACACACTGTACTTTAATTCAAGTACCGAGTGGTGGTGTAAGGATGCAAACACCAGACTGACGGAAAAAAGAACTCATCTCTCATATCTGCCTCAGGTTACTCATTCATCTGTGTGAATGTACAAGTACACACATACGTAAACATCGGTGTATACACACATGTAGAAACTCACGTGTACACACACACACACACACACACACACACACACACACACACACACACACACACACACACACACACACACACACACATACACACACACAAGCACACATGTACACACAGAGGTTCTATTATATTTAGCTAATGAGTCAGGTAGGTGGTGGCACCGAGATGGCAGATCTCAGCGCCAATAGTAAGCACTTCATGTCAAGAATTGTTCTCATTTTATTTCTCCATTTCAGAGGCTCTAATGTAGTTGTATACATCTCGGTCATAAATAATACAGCATTCCAAGGGAAGTATTAATAAGTGGCATCACTGACGTTGCTTATAACGAATTGAAAACAGATACCTCGTAGTTTACTGCTAGTGGGTTTGGATCACAATCGAAGATCCTGGGTTCAATCCTAGGCGAGGCGGGGCGTATGGACCAGTTTTCTATCACCTGCACTTAGCATTAAACATATACCTAAAATTTACACGATTGCTGTGGGCTGCATAAGGTAGAAGGGCCATGGGCTCCCAATGGAAATAAGCTCCACTGATTTGCTTTCCTTAGCTATCTTTTTTTTTTTAACCTTTGAGGGTACTAGTACAAAAAAAAAATTGTTTTTTCTTCATTATCTCATGAAATTTGTACTGTTTCTGTGCAAAGATAATTGTAGTTTCTGAAGACGCATAAGACAATATCTTTTCCCTCTATCCGTTTTCCACCGTCTCCTCGAAGTCAATAAGCGAATGATGGGAAAGTTATTTTTTTTAGTGTATACGTCAAAGAGACAGGAATGAGTAATTCTGTATATAATCAGGTCCTGTCCCATGCACCGGCCGGAAAACACTAACCTGAGCTCCGCTGCTGGTCTTCCCTCTCCTCTCCCTTGATTTCATTTCCTATACAAGTATACAGTGCCTGGCTTGCCTTCTTGCATCACTTCTCATTTAAAGACCCCTCCCTCACTACTTCCTTCATCTCCCTTCCTCTTGTTGCCTTTACCTTCTTGCTCCCTCTTTCACCTCAACCTTCACCTCTACTTCACAGATCCTTCCCTCAATCTCCACCCCACCTTACCTCTGTTCCTAATACCTTTTATCACCATTTCTGTCACCCCATCGCTTCTTCCTTCTCTTCCTCCTTTCACTCCTGTTTACGAGGCTGTCTCCTTTTCATTCATATATCTCTCCCTTATAACTTGATCCACCTCTATCTTCCAAGCTTTACCTTGTCAAGTGTCCCTCCTCTTTCCTTCTTTATGAACATTTCAAAGATTCTTCTCGTCCACTTCTTCCTCCCTTCGCTTTTATTTTTACCTTCTATTCACTCCCTCCTCTTTACTCATCCATCCTCTCCTTGACCAATCCATTCATGAGCTCAAGTCTCAGCTCAACTCCACGCGCGTTCCTCTCACAGCTGTCGACTAGCGTTTTTCCTGCTGGTGGCATTTTCTTGGCCGAGAAAGAAAAGAAAGACTTGTAACTCAATAGTAAATCCTCTTCTTA